CAGAAGATGGTGCCTACAGTGCCACTTGATGGCTTATTCTGGGAGTGCATTCAGAGAGAGCCATACCCATGAGACGTCAACCAGCCCTTGGGCTTCTGCTACAGCACATCTGGAAGCTGTTTGATAACTCTGGTGCAGAAGGGAAGAATTAAAAACTGCACAAGTACCTTGTATTAGGCGATCTTTTCAGCTTCAGAGTTCTTTATTTTACAATGTCAAAATGTGCTTTGGGTTTTTTTTCATTTGTTCTTTGTGGTTTGGATTTTTGTTGGGTTTTTTTGACATCATCTTCTAAGTAAGAAACTGAAGGGCAAAGAAACCAATCACACAGAACTTCAATGATCCTATAAGCACCCTTGTTTCCACAAAAAAAGCATCCTACCACATAAACTAACCAAACAAGCAGTAGCCATAGAAGTCCTTGTGTTGGAAGAGGATCAGGAAAAACACAGCATTTCACAGAAAAGTAACAGAGGGACATGGAACCCCAGCATTCATTCCCAGCTCTTTTCTTGCAGTATTATACAGTTCTGTACTTGTGGCACAGACCATCCCCTTGCCACTATTAAATATTCCCCTTTCAACTCTACAGCTGTCAAAAGAAGTTACTGTAAGGAAAGTCCAGCTCAATCCTCAGTGTTTATCCTGTTCTTATAAATGGGTTGAACCACTTTATCTCGTAACAACAACAACAAAAAAGCCCCATCAACCTTGTCCCAAAGGAGCAAGAGATTTGTAAAAATTCAGTCTGCATTTTTATAATTTTAAATGAGTTACAGGATTTGATCATGTAATATATGGCAATGTTAACTAAAAGTCAAAGAATAAGCTCAGTGGTATTACAGCATGGCTCAGTCAAAGACTTAGTTGTGAGCTTAACTCCATGTACCACACATTGCCAAAAAACTGACTTCTCAGCAGGATGAGGCCACAAGGTATATAGCAGCACGACAACAGACTAATCCCAAATAAAAGCAGGCTCAAAACTGTTGAATGACACGCCAAATGTCCTTACTCTGATGCTACAGGTTAATTGTCTGGCATTCTGTGAAAGTCTAAGGGTGAAATATAATTGGAATTCAGCTATCTGCATTTAATAAGACAATTAGTTACAGTTGTATTTTGGGACAACTGTAATTAGAGTTATAGCTAATGAGCTAGGAAAATGACAAGCAAAAAACTATCAATCACGCATTAAATGTGAACATAAACAATGATGAAAATGCTTCTCTTGTTAGTTTCAAATGTACTTTTAATTTAAGTCTGTTAATTAATTTCTCATGGGTATCAGTGTCTGTGTAGTCATAGGAACTTCTAGTTTAACAACCACCATTTTATCTGTTGTGATGAATGCTTGATCTTATTATCATTAATTTCTGGCTATTCAGAACAAATAGGAAGGAACTGTGAATTCTGAACATATACAGCCTCCAAGGATATCTACCGGTGACAAGCCTAGTATCTCAAAACTCATGCTTGCTGATGCTGTTGTGTCAATTCACCGTACAGCCCCAAACCACTTGTGCCACACCAGGAACTTCCAATTGTACCTACCACAACCACAGACATAAAAACCCTTTCAAAAAGTATCTTATCCAATCTGTTGGCACCAGGAAGAAGGATCTGGGGCAGCTTTAGATGCTACTACACCTCAGGTGTTGGTTAGCACCCTGAAGCAGAGGTGGGAGAAGGGAAGACATCCGCATCCTCAGCATGTCACCATGTGATATCAGTGTAACCCGTCTTCACGGGGGGTCTGGGGAAACACGCTTGCGCACTGATGGAGGCAGCTGAGGAGAAGACTTACATTCCCTTCTGCCAACCCTTTGCTGGAGGCAGTGTCCTTCAAGGGGTTCGAGGAGGAGCAGAACCCATTTCTTTAAGGATGAAGCCAAATTAGCACAGTACAACAGGAACCAGCTTTTCTTTGCAACAGGAGAAGTTTAATGAGTCGTCAACCATAAGTGACATTTTAAACACTTTTTTTGCTAAATACCTGCATAAAGATACATCGACCGTATTTTGATCTAAACAGTATCTGTTTTAGTTTGCCTTAAGTCAGTTAGAAATTGATTTATTTTCAACTAAACAGAAATCCACAGAGATCTGAAACTATTAATCTAAGTCAATTTAAAACAAATTAATTCAACTGATGCAACTTTCTTAGAAGGATACAATAACATACTGCCTGTGAGAATCTGAGACCTTCTACTCATGAATAAAAAGATGAGGTAAGAGAAAGGAGCAACTGGAAATGGAAAGTGAATGACCATTAATGTTCCAGTTACCCACTGAACCACTGTAAATAATGCTGAAGATGCTATCATCCAGTTTTTCATCTTGAGTAATGGTAAACAAAATTGATACTTTGCAAGAATTGCCTCCCATTGTCACCTAAGTGGGAGGGGTTTTTTGCTGTTGTTTTGAGGTTTTTTGTACAGTAACACAGCATGATTTTGGCCCTTGCAAAAAAATCTCCATTTTCACAACTGAGGAAGCCATATTTTTTAAATAATAAGTCCCTCACGTCAAACATTTATAATTTGAAATAAGGAGCATTGTATAATGACATAAACACTGTGAATCCTATTTCAGTGCAATGACTCTTTGTGCAGCATTACCTACAAGCAGAAGGGCAAACAATGAAGTCAGTACATTGGTTGGTGCCGCCTTCTACATCAGATAAAGTTCCTGTTTCAAAAGAAAAATTCTGCCCTACTTTTTCAAGGAGTTAGCACTACCATGATAAGGGCAGAAGAGAAAGTAGTAAAGGCCAATATTCAACATCAGCTGCTTGGTATCAACCATGATGGAAAACACAGGTCACAACAATACTTCCTGAGGTGCTGAGAAATTTTTCTCTAAATTCCTTTATTTTCCCTCTTTAACCAGCTGACCTAGTTCCACCCTGAAGAGTCAGACAACGTCCTGGATCGCATGAATGCACCAGATGATGCCTGAGGCAAAGCTTATGTTTCAGTAGCTGACTGAACAGGGTATTTTGTAAACTCAAAGTGGGCACAGCCTCACCTGTGTTAGCTGTTGTTCTTCGGCATTTACTTATGGCCAGCGGTTCAAGCTAGCCATGAGCAATCCTCTTCCACACTACAGTAGAACTAATTCCAGTATGACATTCTTTAGGACTGCCAATCAAAAAAGCAGCCCTAGATAATATATTTTCTTAAACTTTAGAATCCGCAAGTTGTCAATGGTTTCTTCAACAGTAGCAATTCAAGGTACAATTATGAGGTTAAGACTACGAAGTCTGTAATCGGCAATCCAAGTGGGTTTCAAAAAACAAGCCCCTAACTATAAGCACAGACATGCAAGTACAGGAATGTTTCACTTTCCTAGTTCTACATCTTTCGATTTTAATGCAAACATTTTCAGTCTTATTTGGATTTAAATAAATCTGTTATTTATAATTAAGTTGTTCAAAGTTACGAGAAGACAAGCGATGCATTTCATAAGAGAAGTCTAGTGTCTCATCTAAATTATTTAATCATACAACTTATTCGGTAGAGTTAATTTGTTGGCTGGATACTAGGAAGGGGTTTTATTCTATCACTTTACTCTTGAAAGACACAGACTTAAAAGTTTTAAGTAGGGCAACTGATGGAAGATATTAGTGTGGTCATGTGAGGTCAAATATACTTAAAATTATGCGATGAAAACGGCTTGTGCTGCCGTGAAACTCATTATAATATCAGGTTTACATTGTCTTCAAAATATTCTCTTAAATATCTTACAACCTTGACATCCCCCATTACAATTCTGCTCACAGACAGAATAAGGTTAGTTAAGAGGCACATCATGTCTGATTCCAGGAAGAATGATGCGCAGAGCTAGCATGCACAGCTAGGTTAAAGGAAAACCAGTGATCACTAAGCTTCTTACATTCAGATGTGAGAATTTAATCTCTCATAAGAAAATGCTGGATGTCATGTAGATTGCAGTAGAATTTATATTCTTTTAGAACTGATTTCTTAAGTCACAGATGCAGAAAAAAGAAAACTAATCATATATCCTTGACAAAAAAATAAATGTTGACTTACTAGCTGCTGAGTCACAGGGGAAAAAAATCCAACAAGTAAATGATACAAGCTGAAACACACCTTTTATTGGCTGCTTGAGCAGACTAAGGTCTTAGATCTTTTTAAAGCTAAGTGAATAAAGACTAAATGAGTTTGAATGCATTCTACTTAAAGGATTCATGTTAGCATTTTGACTTTTGGTCCTCATGCTATTAAGCTCAAGAAGATATTTCTAAAATCTCTGATGGAAAAAAAATGAAGGTATTGGGAGCGAACAGCATTCCTTGATCCTGCAACCACATTCACCCATGAAAAGAAAATTTCTGTATCTCTGTCCAAGCTTTCATAATTTGGTCCCAGTCCTTCTAAGACATGTGCATTCATTTTCCACATCCATTTCCACCCAAAATAAATGTATCTTAAGTCTCTAAAGAATTTGCTGGGGTTTTTTGTTTTGTTTTGTCTTGGTTTTTTTTTTTAACTAAAATGAAATTGTTAAAATTTACAGGCAAAGATGACAGACGGTGAACGTCATGGCTGAACTCCAGAGGGCTTCAAGTAAATTTCTTAAATGTGTTTAACTCTGTAAAGATAATTCTTCCCTGTGACTGGCTTACGAAAATTGGGAAAAGCTTCTTCTGCTATAATGTTGGTTCTTCAGAGATACAAAGTCAAGAGCCCTGTAGCACAAACTTCAAGCTTTTTGCCTAAACAGAACTCAGAAGCGTCAACTGATCAAGTAAAACCAGCAGAAATGCTATGGGGAAAAAAACCTTCACAAAATCCATAAGCAACCACCCACATCCCTTCACCCCCGACAGTAACCCAAACCAGACACGTCAGTATATCAGAGAAGAAAAATGTCTGGTTTAAATTATGTCTTAAAACACACTGTATCTAAGTGCTCAGCATGCAGAAGGTATGTCAGAACTGCATGTGTGTATATTCCATTAAAGATCTGCTCACCTCTCCCACAACTTCAATGATGTCACCAACTTTTAATTCCAGTTCATCTTCATTTTGAGGCATGTAACTGAAAGCCACCTGACATCTTCTTCTTCTGTTTCTCTCTCCTGGTGGAAATGAAGGAAACAGGGAAATTGTAAAACTGAAACAAAATTCCATGCCAAACACAAGCCAGGGGAAATGATTAAAGATGAAATATTATTCTTTGAGCACTATTAAAAGAATCTGAATTTTTGCAATGCTTAGTATATCTGCCTAGAATTAAATTTATGAAAAGAATTAACTACAAAAAACTTAATTTACAAAAAACACCCCATCCCCCCCCCAACAAATTCTTTACAAAAGATTTCTGGTGCATATTATTTCTCTCAACTATTTTTATAATTCAATGTAATTAATAAATGAAAATAAATTGTGGGGATTTTTTCCTTTCTGTAATAATATTTAAGAGCCAAAATTTAAGTAATAGATTGTGCTTCCCAGTGACAGGATGGACAAACTTTACCCAGAGGATCTTTCCAGGTGTATTTGCTATGATTTCGCTTCTAGGCTAATTATACACATGATGTAGGCAAATCCAGGAATTGGAGGGTTGGGGAAGGGATCCAAAACCCTGTGGCTTTTGCTCGTATGGAAATAAGCTCTCAACTGATTATTTTGTCCTGTATCTTTTTCTCCACAACTCTTTCACAGGTGTACAATTATCTCACTAACCTTTTATATATATATATTTTTTTGTTTGTTTGTTTTTTCTTTTACAGATATACACACACACACACACATCAGGTATATATGTATGTATGCACACGTATTTGTAAGGTACGTCTTTATGCACTAATATCGGATTAAAGAAAACAGAAGGAAAACCCATTCCAAAGGACTCCCAAAGCTAGGTGTGTCATTGGGTTGGTGTGGTTAAGACAGGCTAATTTTGATAATCAACCAGCTACTGGAAATGATGTTACCAGCCATCTTTCTCTTCAGCTTGGCTGTCCAGGCTCCCATGAGAAGCTGGAATGAAGGTGCATCTTTGGATGCGTGAGTGGAGAGAGGCTTGAATTCATAGCTCTGAATAAAAGTAAGACCCTTCACTTGACCCTTCTGCCATCACAGTATTAAGACAGACAGATAAATGAAAAGGTTCAGTTCCAGAGCCATTTGCCAGATTCGCTGGCTTACATATTGTTATAGTTGTATGATTTGTAGCAGAGCGGATGAGAGAACTTCCCTAAATCAAGTTGCCAGAGCTTGCTGCAAGGCCTCTGTTAGCTGAAGGACAACTTACTGACATGAATCATGACCATGTTGGAATGTGGTGGAGGAGGACAAGGTAGGAAGAGAGAAATCATTCAAAACACAGGATTCACTGATTATTCCCTCTTCTCTAAAAGATGTGCAATGTATAAACCATACTATCTTGTATTATTTATATACACGTATCCACACAAACATATATACATACACTCTACACAAATAAATGTACTTTCTCTTATGCTATTTCTCTTAACTGTTAAACATGCTCAATACACACCAAATCAGTTGTGTAAACACTGCCCAAGAACAGCCTTAATCTGACATAAAATTACAGGAATGGATCTTATGATCAGTCTACTATTTCCCCTGCAACATGTCTTGATAATCCTGCTCTAGGGTGAACACTAATAAAAAGTTACAGATATTTTTTTCCTAATCTATTAATTGAAACTAGAGAAAGAAGGGAGAAAGGAAGCCATTGAATTTGGCTTTCTGACAGTCTTTTTCACAGCCACTGCAATCCTGCATGAGTGGCAGCTTCTTGAATGTTAAAATTAATACCTTAATGCAATGTAACCAAACTTGCTCAAATTGGCTATTTTTTCCGCCTACAGATGACTGTTCGTTCTTCACCGTCTAAACTAAAATGGTCCTAAATGACAACTTTACGCAGCTGCGTTCAAAATAACTTGAATATAATAAATACCTTCCATATCGAATGCTTCTTTCATTGTGCAAAAGAGGCTGGCTATTTTCCCTGAAGATAACATTCCCACTATGATTTCTAACATCAAGTAGCAACTGATGTGCTGATGTTACCTAATGTGACAGATGTCAGTTGCCAACCTATTTAACAATCAATATTGTGTGACTCTTGGAGAATATTTTTAAGATTGCTAAGAGAGTAAGAAATAAACACAATTCTGGATGTTAATAACAGAACTGTATGAATCCTTCCCCCTCCCACCCCATAAAGTTTTTTTATTACTGTATAGAAAATGTAGCGAAAGTCTGCACTTTTCTGCATTAGTCTCATGGTTGTTTTGCTGGTCTCCCTCTCCTCCCTGATCTTTCTCTAAAGAAATACCTAAGTGGAGACTAGCAAGCCAACAAGAGGCATAGACTCGATGTACCAACTAGTTCCTCCCTCTGGTCTAATGCAAGACAACAGATCCAGCAGCAAATCCCTTTGGTTTTAAGGAGAAGGTGCTGCTGGACCCCACGTGCATGCTAATGTTCGGAGCACTTGAGCAGAACACAAGTTGTGTGAAGAGCTCTACAGTCAAGGTGTATCTGGTTTTTCTTACGCTAAAGCAACTTGGGTAATACAGCAGTATGAGCTTTCCAAGAAAACAGAGCTGACAGGAAAAGATGTCACAAGTAACCAAGCCATGTGTATACAAAGACCGTTAGTAAAGAAAAAATCTTGGTTTTGCAAATGCAATATTTCCACCCCAGCATCACCGATTTTTTGTCTGTTTCTTAACCAGCACAAAGACTCCAAAGTCAGCATGGTCAGGAACCAGGAAGACCTATAAGACAACTAACAAGCATTTTAGACAGAAATACTGAACTCTTGATCTTCTCTTGCCATTTCCCCTTTTGCTAATATTGCCACTTATTGCAGAGTGTTGTACAGTCTATGCTTTAACTGCTAGTAATCCGAGATCTAAATGGTACTTTGCGCCTTTAAAATGTAAGTAATCTGACCAATTGATGTAAAGTTAATTTTAAACTATATAGGGCAGCAATTCTGCAATGAATACTGCAGGTACTTTCTAATCTAATCCATTTTTTTCTTACTTGTAAATTGATGAAGAAAATATTTTCTTGGAGTTTTTTTGCATTTTTCTTCACACTTGAGCATAAACTGAGTTACTTGCAGACGAAGTTACCGCATGGTGAAAAGGCAGGTAATAAACCCAGTACTTTAAAATCAGAAAAGGTGTGCTGCAAAGTCCTCACTGGGTTTTGAAAGGCTTAAAAGAAGGAAAAAAAAAAGGATCAGTGAACTTTTACTGGCCCACGTATAATAATTTGTAGCAAGTAAGCTGCTGCAGGTAACACGGCACTGCCTGCTGGTCACAGTTGTAGGCTTTTTCATCTCTGGTAGCTGTGGCACAACATCAGAAGTGTTTTGAAGGCAAAACACCTATGAGCTGCAGGCTGGGAACTAACCGAGCTACACTGTATTCAGAACAAGCTATCATACAGAAATAACATCACTCACCCTTGTAAAAAACACTGGCTCCCGTTTACATAGTTATAATAAACCTCGAAGGAAAAAAAATTCACATGCCTAGTTTGTGCAGTCCATTCTTAAAACAAACCAGGCAGCTACAGAGAATTTTCTGTGCCTGTACAAGGGGGCTAACAAACCAGTGACTCAAAGCATATTGCATCTGAAGCGATGGCACCAAGACGTCAACACCGGTGCTGCCGAGCATGCCTGACTCTGCTCCGCTCCCTCTAAGGGCTGTGTCAAAGGCACCGAACCCTTACAAAGCGTCTGCAGATCTGGCAAGGGAGGAAAGAGAATGGACCTCGCGTGCACTGCCGAAGGTGTCATGTCACGATACACCTTAAGAGTGATGCTGGTTGCCTCCTTATTTCAGCTGTTGGTTGCCAACTCCTGCTCACCCCACCTGAGGCTACTGCTCCCTCTGCCCTGAGAGGTGAACTGCTTCTCCGATCACTCCCCAAACACCTTCGCTCAGAGCAAAACCTGGTAGCTTAGCAGGGTAAACAACAGGCTTTGCTAAACCAGCTCCTTTTGGTCTTCATCCTAAGATTCACCTATGTCGTTGTAGGTGTCCCGCAGTCAGATGTCTAAATCTGAGCCCATCACTCAGGAGTGGAGAGAACCCAATACCTCCAGAGGGTACTTAGTGTCCCTGTAATTTAAACAACTAAAACACATCAGATGAATGACTCTCTGGAGGTGCCTTTTTCTACTGGTATGGCTGGATCAGACCTCAACATCTAACTTTAAAAGGTCTAAAGTTAGGTCAAATGGAAAGAGGAATGAACATATATTTAGAAACTTGAAACAAATAAATCTCCGAGGGCACAAATCCAACTTGTTTCAGAGTGGTGTTTGATCAGATTCTAAAAATGCTGTGGTTGCCTGTGACAGCAGGAGACCATAAAGGGGCTTCCTCCACCTGTACACGTGCAAGAGAGAGCACTGATTTCTAGATAGCTAAACACCCTTCTGGCACTAGCAATGAAAATAAAAAAAGAGGCAACGACAAGGCTTCAATGCTTACCTTTGTAAGGGGCACCAAAAGCTGAGGCATCACTACACAAGAAGTCACACGGGTACTTACATGCTGTCATTGGACCCAGGAAAGGTCACACACTGACAACGCGGGGTTAGATGAAAAGTGCGGCAGCAGCAGAGTAGATAGGAAGTAAACTACTTAAAAATGAACTGGAATTTTCAAATCCAAACTGCTTTTTTAAACTTAAGACCTCTGTCATGAAACAGCTGTTTATATAAATATGTGCATGTGTGAGCAGGTTAGATGGTGGTGTGTACAGAGCCTACTTTCACTGATGCCAATGTCTTTGTAGCCTGACCTGTCAGTGAAAACCACGTGGTTAACTTCACTAACAGAAGGTCCATCAACTCTACATAATAATCTGCTTTTTTCCCCACTACAAAAGAACGAGGACAGCAATCCGTTTCGTAACACAGTACAACTATGCTATACAGTCAAAAAACTATATTCAATAAAAACTGTCAGAGAACAGACCCATGGAGCAAATGTCCATCCCTCTCCCTGCTGACAAAAGTTATACCTAAATGGCTGACGATCTCTTCAAAACTAGGTCCCACAGTTTTGTAATT